CTTCTATCCCCTCACGCCTCTTCTACCTACTGTTCTCTTAGATGACGTTCAGTGACACCTCCAGGACATTCCCTGGCCCAGGACTGGGTGAACTCCCTCTGCCCGGGTCTCACAGTAGGCAGTGTACTCCTCCTACCTTTGCACCTACCAGGTACCTTGGAGAGAGCTGCCTGCACGGCCATCTCCTCCACTAAACATGGAATTGCTCCTTCAGGGCAGGAGTTTTCAGTCTCCCTAGCACTCAGCAGGCCCTCAATACACAAGCTGGATGGTGGGGTGGTGGCGGGGAATGAGCAGGTGAATTCCGAGTAGAGGCTGGCTCAGTGGGCCCTCTAGTCCCATCTTACTAAGAATCTAGTTTTCCAACTTGTTGGTTCTTTGTGCATAACTTTGCCTTTGTAAAAGTACACACATATTAGAGTGGATACTGGGAGAGTTGTTCATACAAACTAGAAGACTGATCATAGCTCTTTCGTAAGCCAGAAAAATAAGCTGTAACATTCTCATGATCAGAGCCAGATTCCTCGGCAGCTCCTGGGGCTGTGGACACACTGGAAAGGCAGATGAGGACAGAGACACGCAGTGGTGTCCAACCCCATGAGGCCCCTCTCCTCTCCCCTCTTCCCTCTCCCCTCTCCCTCTCTCCTCCTTCCCTCCAGGTCAGCCTGAGTCTCCTCTGCTGTCCTGGGGACATCCAAAATATGTATCAGCTAAAAGACTCAGAGCTGTTCTTGACAAGATCATTAAATGCAGCAACAACAGAGGTCCTCAGGGTGCTGCCGACCTCTCACAGGGAGGAGCAGGAAGACCCCTGTGGCCTGAGCTCTCCGACTCCCCAGCATCCCCAGCAGTGTCTGGCACAGGCCCACCTCTCCGCAGTCCTGGAGGTGCTAACAGAACTTTCCCAGGACCCCAGTCTCCTCTCTGCTTCCCACCCACATCTCTCCAACAAAAACAAGACCTCGGCCAGGATCCAAGCTCTGGGATCTGTGAGGAGGGGGCTCTGGGACACAGCCCTTGTCCTTCTGTGATGCTGAAACCAGATCCCCAAAGCTCCCAGGGGCCAATGAAATGCATGTAGTTCTCTTAAAAAAAAAACCTGTGCCGGGCTCTTGTTTGGAGGGCAGGAGAGATAAATGAGCAGCTAGCCCCCACCAAGAGGAGGGGCTTAGTCACTTGGAAAGCCTTTCCCCAGTAGCTTTTTCTACCCTGCACAGCTCACACTGATGGTGCATCAGCTGCACTGACAAAGCGGAGTTGGGCCATTTTCCACACTGAGATGTATCCCTAGTGCCCAAGCTGTCACAACAGCAGACAGACCAAAGGACCAGTCATAGGGAAAACACGTGGGACCTTCGCTCCGCCACATTTACTCTGACAGTTTCTGATTAAAACAGGTTCCAGGGACCCAACCCTCTTGCGACGAACAGATGGGATACCTGTGTATTCAGAGAGGCTCCAATATTTTTTTTCAGGGGCAAGAGAAATGATTTCACGTTAAACAAAATACAACAACAGCAACAGCACGATTTAAGCTCTTCCCACTATACAGAACTTTGTGGCTGCCAAGGACAGTCAAATCTAGGTATAGGAAAACAGATGCTTAAAATTCACAGCCTTCTCATTGCCAAGACCACTGTCAATGGACTTGACCTCTGGTTAGCTGGGACTTACTGATTCGCTTATCCATAGACTCTGTACTCTAACCTCTCTGCTTACGCTCTTTCAGAAAAGTGGCTATTCTGCACTTGCAGGGTAATTTGTGTCTCTGTGGTTCCCCTGAAGTTTCCTGACACAACCACGCCAACCTTCCGAAGGAGGATCCATTGATAAGGTGACAAATTTCAGCTCCTTTCCTTCCTGCTCACACACAAGAAAAATCACGAGGGAACAGAGAAATGGAGTTTATTCCCAGTGCCAGCTCCAGAAATGTCATCTACTGAGCTTCTCACGAGGCTCCTTCCGTAGTTCCCTAGGAGCTGCAGGTGGTCCTGCCACGGCCTGCAGGAGGATTACCTGCAAAACCCAGAGTCCTGAAGTTCCCCTGCAGTCTCTCCTGAAAACCAAGTTCACACTATTCTTTCCCAACTGAACTGCAAACTAAAGTGTTAATATATCACCTTGCTTCAGGTTTCTATGGTCTTACTATGGTATTATAGGAAGGACATTCGGCTTGAGGACAGAAAACCTGATTTCTACTCATGGTCTGACACTAAATGGTCTGGCCAGGGAGTTCCTTTGAGCTTCAGTTTCTCTTCTGTGGAAAGAGGTAAACTGTTGCCCTGCTCAACCCAAAGAACTGGTTTTGAGACTCTAGTGAGATGACTTGTGAAGGAACTCAGATACTGGAAAGCCTTTTGCAAATATAAGGAAATGACATTACTACCTAATGCTTCCTGGTAAGTCCTTCAAAAGCAGGAGCCATCACTCAATTGTCATTATCACCGCACTCAACAGAGTGCTCACACATGGGTGTGGCTACTGCATTTGACATCCAGGGACTTTGGGACTTGAATGTGCTCCACTAGCGTTATGAATCGGGAATATCTTCATTTCAAACTCTTTTCCATTGGGCATAAACAGAATATCTTTCCTTTTCTCACCCAGGATCCAGTGGTCTTTTTGTGAAATGACTGCCACTGTGAACCCCTCCTGGGATGCTAAAGTCACGCCTCTCAACGTGGCTGGAAATCTCCTCTCTGACTCAACTCCTAGATGGCCAGCAATGACTACGTGTCCTCCATCTCCCTTCCATCCTCGGCCTCCCATTTAATTCCTTTCCAGGGCCTTTGTATACGTGACCACATGAGGCCCCTAAATATATTCTTAATTCTGCAAAATCTCCACTAAAAAGATCTTATTCCCTGCAAGCACCAGTGTGATTGGTCTCCTATGTAGCGAAGGAGCTTTTATATTTTTAGTTTTCTTCCCATACAACAAACACTATTAATAACATCCGACTTTCTCCAGAGATTATATAGATTCGACCAAATGGAAAGTTACCATGGCTACCGTAGTGTTATTTTTGGTATGAGAAATTCATGCCGGAGAAGCAGCATCCATGGGCAAGAACTGGAGCTTTATTTCCACTTTGCTATCAGGCAATCAATCCCAATTTAATTTTGAAGCTAATTGCAACGGAAACTAATTATGAGCAGCAAGACCTGAAACCCCTAATTACAGTGGAAGTCAATAAAGTGAGGCAGCATTATCATTGGGGCAACACTGGTGGGATGAGGGATTTAAGCACAGTGGATTTTCTTTCCCAGGCAACTATCTAAGCAAAACAAGATATGGAAACACATCTTGGAGGTCAGTGGGAAACCCTAAGTTGGACCTGAAGGCTACATTTTCTGGCGAAGGAGCAGGTCAGGCCCTCTCTCTGTGTTATGAAGATGTAACCCATCCAGGGGTACAAAGCCCAGAGAGAAAGGAGGCTGTTTCTACCAATAGTCAATTACCCAGAGTGGCTGTGGTGGGGAGGCGGGGAAGGGCTAAGCTGAAGGAGGCCCGTCTGGACAAAGCCCATACATTGTGTGCCTTTCAGGCCTCGGGGGCATACAGCAGAGGAGCAGGGGCATCCAAACAGAATCTCATCACTCAGACCCAGATATTTATGGGCTATTTCCTCACATACCAGATGCTGAGTCATACTTTTCTGAATTAGCAGCGGTTGGCTTATGAAAGGACTTCTATTAGAGTACAAACCTACTGCCAATCCCTGAAGTGCACGCTTTCCTCTGGGACCTCTCAGTCTATCTTTGACAGCTTCAAAATACTGCTAATGGCATGACTTCATCTGCCCACGCTAGAACAATCCATATTTAGGTCAGAAACCACATGGTCCTCGAATCACCCCACTGGGCTCTGGGATAGAAAGGGGCTCCTAAATCAGGGAGAGAGCACTTTTAACCAATGATGGATTACTCACCTGCCTCCAAATTCCTTAACAAAGAGACAAAAATGAACTTTGATGAGTGGTTAGAAAGTTACTACTCACTGCAACAGGGCAGTAAAATCATGGGAAGATGAGCCTCTTCCCCATTCAGGGTATATTTTTCTACAAAGGGGTCTTTCTCCCTTTAACAGGCTTTCCTGTTAAATTTTCCTGAGAGATTTTTAAAAAGCATTACTAAGAAGAAAGAAGCAGAGGATCATAACCCTGTTGTGGCTTTTTCAACAGCACTGAGTAAGTGGGTCCCTCAGGAGAGGGAGCTCCGCCGGCAGGGGAAGAATTCCTTGAGAGCTCTCAGCCTCCTGTTTCCCATGAATAAATGAGGCCCACAGTTATGCCGGGGCAGACAGGATTTTTCCAAGGCAGACAAACCCCAAATCAGTGGGAGCCTATAGTCATCTTAATTCTTAGTGTTGTCGCAAGTGGGCAACACAGAACACAGGCCTCGTCTTGAATTAGTCCAATGAGGTTCTTTGCATATTTTCGTCGCAATAGTGTACTGACACATTGCGCAAAACCTTTGGCATTGGTCTTGTAACAAAGGTTAAAAATGGGAGCAGTGAAGAAAAAGCCAGTTCTGAATAATGAAATGTTTTGAAACCTGGCCGCAATGTGCAAGGAGATATTTGGCAGCTTCTCTACATTGTCTATGTTATTGACATAATGGAGCAGCGGGCTAAGTGGAGAGAGGGGCTCAGCCACCTCACATTTATCATGAACCAGGGAAGAGAGAGACAAAGAGAAAGAAGATAAATAGCTTCGTTATGGAGCTACTTTGGTATAAAATTTCAGCCCAAGGAGACTAAAAGTGTCCTGAAAAACAGAGTTTCATCCCCAAACACAGATAAGGAGCCCCCTTCTGTGCGGCTGGATTCTGCCTCCAGGGAGGCACACGGCTAGCGGCTTATGAAGATCCATCAGTCAAAGCAAGTGCCTCTCCCTACAGCCAGCAGGCTGCAAACTTTCTCTACTGCCTTTTAGAAAACAAACGCGTTCGAGACCCCAAAAGAATTTTAGAGGTACTTCATCTCAAAACCACACCTACCTTGACTCCAAGGAAAGATTTGCGGTGATAGAAGCAGCACAGAGCTGCCGAGAGGGCGTGGAAAGCATTGCACTCCTTAGGCATCTTTCAGTCTTCAGTCCCTGCACCACACACTTTCTTTAGGGTTAAAAGAAAGGGGGCTCAGGGCATCAGAGCCCCGGTTGCTCCGCAGCAGCTGTGCTGCGCCTGCCCGCAGTCCAGTGGCCCAGGGAGTGAGCCAGCTCCTTCTCCCAGGCCAGGCTGGGACTTTTCCCCTCCTCTGAAGCCAATACGATCCACTCACTCAGTTCTGGCCGGCTGGTGTCCAGCCTGCCATGCACACAGTGCCAGAAATTCTCATGTGACCAGACTTGCTTTCTGATGAAATTCTAACCGCTCTTAGAAGAGGCTTTGGGCTTTAGCTGTCCCCTCAATGAAGAGATCCGGCCGAAACCATTATCTCCTCAGCAGCCTTTCCTTCCCAGGGCTGAAGGCACCAGACAAGCTGCTCCTAGAGGCTCTGTCTGTTTGCCTGTCACCCCCAGCACCTAGGGGGTCAGAAAGCACACATCACACCACCTTGTGATGTGACAGAGGCTCCTTTGAGAAAAGGACCTAAAGGTGACCAGGGTGTGACTTTCCCCTAGGAGCAATCCTAGAAGTCCTAAGGAACCCAGGCGGATCCCTGTCCCCACTCTCCCAGTCCATCCCACAACTGTTTATTTTTAATTAGGATGCTCCTGGCAGCCAGCTTGCAGTTGATAACGTTGGAACAGCCATCACTACTGGCAAAGCAACATTTCCTTTTGGTGTTTAATTAGCAAGTCTGTCAGCAAACACCCTGCGCTCCCCATGCCCTTCCCACCTGGCTGTGCAGTCTATTGGGAGGATGGGAGACAGGCTGTGTAGACTCTTCTGACCCAACTGTTTGTCTCACTCCCCTCCTTCACTTATAATACTCCACTTTAATTGCCCACTCTGCTTAACCCAGATCCTCACATCCAACCTGGCCAAGCTTGGTTCTTCTATGCTAAGAGGTCTCTGCCTCCACCAAGAGCCTCCTAACGCCTTTAGGGGAAAGTAATTGCTTTTTTTCTTTCATTCCTGTAAGAGTGGAGGCTCAATGATTATGTTTTTTATCAAACCCTGGTTTCTGCCTACTGTTCCAAATATTAACTTTCTGTGGCTCTGGCCACTCACAAATGGAATGTGTCCTGAAGCTTTCTTAAACTTCACACAGGCAGAGACTTGCAAGGAGGAAGAAACAGAGTCTATTCAGTCCAGAAAGGAACACCACCAGATGAGGCTTGGGGGAGGTATGAAAAACATCCAGTCGGATCAGTGTCAAATACTCAGGAGGCCTCGGCCTTTGGACTAGGTCAAGTAGGCCTGTGAAAACAGGGAATTGATTGTTTTATGCCTGGTGAGCAGCTTCTGGGCTTGCCTGTGTGCTATAGAGAGAGATGAGGTAGAGCCTCCCCATGTCCAACATGGGGATAGACCTGCAAATGCTCTGTCACCACCAGAAAGGAACCACCAGGGCACTGACTTCCTTTCTGTTCTCCCTCTCCTCTTCCTCCTCTGTGCTTCTGGAGGTCAGATGTGCAGTCCTGGGAACTCCTGGGTCCCAGGAAGCCCACCTGAGAACCTGGAAGCAAGCACCAAGGATGGTAGAACTCACAGTTTGTTTTTTTTAGCTGGAGGGGCTCTTGAAGATGGTCCAGTAGAGGGTCCTTCAAGGTCCTGTACTGTATTCATGAGGAAGCATGTCTCTGCCCTCGCTTTTATTAGACTGGGCTAAAGGGGCAGCCAGGGCCCACAACGCCAGCAGTTGGGTGGAGATGACTTATCAATCAGGTCAACAGCCACCAGGTAAGGGGCCCAGTTTTCACTTGCTATTCCCCTTTTCCTCGGGCTAGAAAAGTCCTCAAGTGGCTAAAAAACACTATCCCCAGCCTTGGAAGAGGGAGAAAAGCAGCTCCTTCAATCCCGCACAGAAATTCCATGAGATTAGTCAGCCAAAGCCCTTGAATTCCAATACCCTACCGGCAGAAAGCATGAATGAAGTGCATTCCTGCAAGAAAATATGCAAATAACTCAGACATGTAAATTACATAGGATTATGCAGCCAAGTGCTCCAGGGCCAGAGTAAAAGCAAAACAAAAGACGAGCAGGGCTCAGGACTCGGCAGACTACCAGCTCTAGTCACCTGAGGCTGTCCCTGTTTACTTTAAGAAATGTCTCCAAAATCCACCAAAACTGGTTCCATCAGGAGTAAAGAATGGGCTACTCTTATTAGGTAACTTTCCTACGCACTTTTTATTTTTTTGTTCCACACCAAAAATAATGTCTGACGCAAGGGTCACAGATTTTAATCAATTTTCTCCCAAGATGGCCAAGGAGAGAAGCTACAATAACCTGTTGTTATTTCAACTAAAGATGATAATGGCATGAATTCACTGACTTGTTATGCTTTTAAATGTCTCCCATCCACGCTGATCAATTCCCCCACATTCTCCCCACAACGATTATTCTATTCTTGTTACAAAGACACAGAGGACCAGAACTGCGTGTCACTCAGCAGAGAACAAAGGACCAGGGACTCCAGCCTGTGACTGCAGAACCTGGTATCTGATCACATGGCAACACAAGTAAGAGATTCTCTAACGTCTTATAACTGAACCTGTTACGCAGCCCTGTGGAGAGGCTGTGATTTGGTACACATCACTCTGATGATTTAGTACATGTGATTTTGGACCAAAATCTGGATTCAGGGTTTTCTAACCACCATGCCCTTTTGGGGACAGGGGTCAGTGTTGCTAATGCAGCTACAGGGACTGCGGGCCAGAGGGGCTCAGACAGCCCACCTCCCCCGCCCCCTTCAGCAACTGAAGGCTCACTTCTCTGCATCAAGGGAAACACCTGTGAAAATAGCCAGGGCTGGCAGCCAGGTGGGCCCTTGAAGGAAATACCCATTACCTCAGGTCAAATGTTGCCCACCCATCTGGGAAGAGGGTTCAAGAAGGCTGGAGGAAAGCCCCTGCACAATCATTGCCTTCAATGCCAGTTTCTCCTTGGGTAGCCCTAATATTAACCTGCCCTATTTAGTAACCATGGAAACGGGAGCTGCTGCCAGCCATATTTCAAGATGCGGCTTCCTTTCTTCCTTTCGGCAGCAGCCTTTGGGCTAAGAGAAGCTGAAAGCGAGTACAGTGTCTCTTTCTCAAAGTGCCACAGTCCCCACTAGAAGATCAGGTAGACCTGCTCTCTGAGACGGCCGGAGGCGAGGTCTGCGCGGAGAAAGGCGTGCCTGCCAGGTGTCTGCTTTTCCCTGTCTCGGGGCGACCAGGAAAATGCTGCTGCTCATACCCTGCACTCCCCTTCCCAAAGCAAGTCCGGAATCGAGGCATTAACCCTCAGGGTGCAGCGAGGTGCTCTTGGTCATGTCAAGCAGCCCTGTGGACAGTGACACTGCCCATGGTGGGCGGTGTGCTGAGACCAGAGGGCACTGGTCCAAGGCTGCAAGTCCCAGCTTGTCCCCGCCCATAGGGACTCAGTCAGAATGTCAGTGACCACCAGTCATCATGGTCAAAACAGCTCAACCTCTCGTGGCAACCCGAGACTCTTCACCTCTCCAGAAAAATCCATCTTTCCTGACATTTTTGTCTTCACTAAACCCCAGTGATTGGGCTCTGGGGGAACAAAGACAGCGTTAACGAGATAGGGAATTAAGGCAAATGCTACGAATCCTGTTTCTCCTGCGTCCTAGGAAGCAGTACGCCCTCTGCAGGCTCAGCAAGAGCCTGGGAAGCTGTGGGTCAGAGAAGGGGCACATTTATCAGTAACCCTGCTTCCCAAAGCCTCCCAGTCACCTGGTCTGTCTGCGTGATTCTGTACACACTAAACCAGGAGGCAAAGTGGTAGGGGAGGAGCTCACTGTCTCAGAGCACACACCCTCACAGAACAAGCGACAAGGCTGGAGGAGCAGAGGTAGAAACCATGGGAACGAAGGGACGCCATCAGGGAAGAGTCACCTCCTCAAGCCAGGCTCAGGAGCTACACAAGCTGTCAAAGACAGCTCAGCACATTTTTCTATATGCAAATGTGATTTATTTCTTGCTCCAAAAAGGAATGCAAACTGGACTCAGGGAAGAAGGCAGGAAAGGCCAGCCCAGCTCTATGGCCACTTTGTGTATTGCTGGCTGCGCTGATGCACACAAGAGGACGGCTGTACACATCTCAGTCTGACAATCCCCCAGACTCCTTAAGGGGATAAAAGAGTATGGCTGTTAAATGGTCTCTGTCGGGAAATGGTATTGATCTGCCCAGCACATAAACAAGATGATTAAGGATAATATTCACACATAGATTTCTCTCCACTGGGCCTTATGTGTTCCCACAAATTTCTATTTCTCTGATTAGCTATTAAAATTGCATAACTGATAATGTGAAGCAAAATTAGGTGAGCTCTGACTTTACTTTCTTGCACTATCACATACAATTTAATCTCATACACCACCCACTATCATCACCATTTTCTGGTATTGTTATTGTTGTAATTAGCTAGTTAATATTAATAATAGGAAGAGAGCAAAGGGGAGTTCAGACATTATAAGCATGGTCATCTGGGCGGCTTCACCAGGAAGCTACAGCTTCACGCTCCCCAGGAGACCACTGGTCCATTCCCTGCAGATCACTGGGGGAAGGGATCGAACAAAGGGGAAGATGGGCACATGCGCAGTGAAGTCAGGGTGATGAAGGAGAGATGCTTGCCTGTCAGTCTAGCCTGGAAAACAGTGGACTGGCTAGGGGGTGGACCCCATCATAAGTGTGCGAAATCTTGGAAAGTTAATTGGTTAGTTTGAAGAAGCTCCTGGTTAAAATCCCCAGACAAAGGGTTCTCTCACTCTTGCTTTCTCTTGCTCCGTGACCTGCACTCACCCATACACTTGCGTTCTCTCTCCATAGCATATGGCATTAAGCAGCCGATTGGCCCATGGCCATGTGGACCCCACACGCAATGGACTGCAGCTGGGAAGCTAGCCAGATACTGGATTGGACTGTACTTTAATATGCAGCAGAAACTAGGGGCAGTGGCCTTAATTCTGGCCCTGCTGAAGACAATATTGGACTTATTCCATGGCAAGACAGAGAGAGATGGGACCTGAGATGGGAACTCCCTTTTACATAATCAAAAAAGCTTTCCATAAAACCCCATCCTCCTGTGGGGGCCTCAGGAAATCCTTTTCCTCACAGCACTCCAAGAACTCCACTTCCACCGATAACAGTATCACCCCAGAAATCCTAAATTATACCAGCTTAATTTTCTGTTTCTAGCATTAAGCCAAAATTAAAAGAATGTGCACAGGGCATAATTCCAACCTCTCAAACAGTAGTCAGACTTTCTGGCGGTCTCAGCCTTCTTCGAGAGTCTATGAAAATCATCGACCCTCCTCCCAGAACAAAAGGCACATACTG